CTGACTTGCACTTTTTCTTTAGAAAGTTTCGGTAATATATGGCTGTCCTGGATATTAATAATTTCCATTTGATAGTCTGCATTCACTTCTATAAACTTTCTGTACCAAACATATTTTTCTTTTGCTCTTTTCAGGTAAGTATAAGTAATTTATGCTAAAGTACCCAAGCTTTCACACTCTAACTAGACTCTATCATACATTTGACCTATACTAGATTTTTCTTTATTTTCTCCTTTTTAAGAAACAGAGTTTTTTTTCACATCTAAACTCTATAAAGCTCCATTTTCTGCAGTAGAAAGACATTGTCTTTATATTCTTGATCACAGTTTTCAATGTTTCTATCTCAACACATAAATTGACCTGGCTGCACAATCCTCATAAACTGAGAGTTTCTTTGGAAGAAAAATTCCAAGCACATCAATATTATTTTTATTTTTATAGCATAGTTTTTTCTTTCCCATCCAAGGTTTCTTCGGAACCATAAAACATTACTATATAAATTTAAATACTTTATTAAATGATTTAGAAATTCCTCTTCTCTTCAGGATGTTGAGATAGCTTGCATCTCGGTACTGTTATCATCTCACCATTCCCATCTGATGGATTTGTTCTGGGTGAAGAAAGGAAAGGCCCCCTTCAGAAAATACCCCTTAACCTAATACATTGTTCTCACCCTTTCTAATGCATTGTCCTCACCCACCCAGACTTAGAAAGGTGAGAGCATTCAGTGTAAAGAAGTGGCTTCCAATTTTGGTAAGGTCCTGTTTCTAATTGTTTTTGATTTATTAATTAATATATAATTTGTCGTTTGATGACATCAGTCATATGAAAAAATTATGCAATTGTTTCTTAAGACCATTTCCAATTTGCTTTTCTCATTTCTCATTTCTGGTTCTGACATGATTCTCTCTCTCTCTCTCTCTCTCTCTCTCTCTCTCTCTCTCTCTCTCTCTCCCTCTCTGTGACCTTCTCTCTCTGTCTTTTTTCCCTCTGTCTTTCCTTCCTTCACACTTCCCTCTCTTTCTTTCTATCTCTCCTTTATTCTGCCCCCCCCACACACACACACAATTACTTCTATTACTTCTAGCTCTATTGCTAATGGTACATCTTTGTTTTTCTTGAAGCAGGGCCAAATTCTGTTGGCCTCAGTGGCTCCAGGGTCACAATTCTCCAGCCTCCTAGGAGACTGGAAATGAATGCAACTGTCCTTATGCAAAAATCGCTTCATGTAGCTTTAACTCCAACTCTTCAACTTCAGAATCCAGATTTTATAATATGACCAACTAGTTTATTATTTACACTTGAGGAGCCACCATGTGTTTCTGCAATTTCCTATCCTCATTATAGTATGCCGATTATTTGTTGCATGTGTTATTGACTTTTGCAAGTTAGGCTTTAAACAGCTTTATATTGTGTCCTTTATGCTGAGAGGAATTTCACTTGAGTGGTTAGTGGAATATTAGCCAGCTCTTCATTTCAACTCACTGTATCTATTTTAACCCAGCTTGGCATGGTTGCTTTTCTTCCCCCACAAGTCTCCAAGGTCAAGGATGGAAGGTTTTGAACTGAAGTGCTAGTCAGTCTTGCTAAGTAACCTCCCATCCTGTCAATTTGCATTTGAATTTTTATGTAGGTTCATCTCCCTTGCCTTTTAAAACCATGATGACAGTGTAATGCCCTCACTGGCACAGACAGTCATTGCTTTTCTCAATGTGCTTGTTGCTAGGTGTCAGTAGAGGCTCATATGTCTGGTAAACACATCATGATGAACGAGTGATACTCCTGCCTAGTTTGTCTAGGTGTAGTGGTTTGGATGAGAATGGTCCATAGGATCATATATTTCAATGGTTGGTCCCCAGTTGGTGTAACTGTTTGGGAAGGTTCAGGAGTATGGCCTTGTTGGAGGATGTGTGTTACTGCAGGTCAGCTTTGTGTATTCAAAAACCCATGCTGTTCCCAGTTACCTCTCTCTCTCTCTGGGGTGGTTGTTTCAACATGCAAGCTTTCAGCTATTGTTCTAATGCCATCCCTGCCTGCTGCCATGGTCTTTATCATGTCTTTCATGGACTCAGCCTCTGAAATTTTAATGCCAGTAAACTACTATATGCTGCCTTGGTCAAGGTGTCTTAACACAGTAATATAGAAACAACTAAGAAATGTGAGACAATTCACTCTTCTCATTCCTTCTAATACAGCAGCCAGGAGAATCAGCCTCTCTTTTGCTTATTCATGTTCATCTTCCTCACATATGTCTTAACCCTGGAGGGGTAAGGAGTGTAGAAGTACAGGCATGTGGATAATGATGTTGTGCTTCTATTCATGTTGGCTAGGAATGGGTATGATGTCATAGTTTTCCTCTGTCATGTCATTCTTCCTTAGAAGGTCTAAGCTTTCTTTGGTGCTTTAAGCTTTCATTTTACTTTGCTTGTGGCTGCTCTGAGCTTGAGACTTGACATATGGGAAGCAGTTTACGATTTTGTCTTTCTGTTTGTTTACCCCACTCAGAATGTTTTGCTCTTGTTTGTGAGTTGTTGTATGTTTTTATAGCACAAAAAAGTAATAGGAGGAATTGAGCTATTTATTCCCTTTTAGTTGAAATTGCACGTCCATAGCAATTCACTGTTTAGGCATGGTGTTTTAAAGAAAGCAACAAGTAGGAAATATTTATATGTTATGTGCATGTAATACTTCATGAGACAGCATTTTTTCTCATCTGACCTTTGTGATACAGTATCCATTTTGAAAGTCATTACCCAGTTTTAAACTCTGTTTAACTGAATTCAACGCCTATTTTGGTAGCTCCAAATAATGCCAAATGGTCTCCCTGATCATTTTAGTATATGTTGAAGCTTTCATATTGATTTAGGTTGTTGTTTTCCTTAGTGAAGTTTTCTTTCATGGACATTAACACCTCTTTCATTTTACTAAATATGTATTACATAAATACTTAAATGGGTGAAAATATCTTAAGTAATTTTGTCTCAACACATACAAAACAATGTCCCGTGCGTAGCAGTGATAAAAGGTATGAAATACAAATGGTGGCTGGGAGTCTCTCTCTCTCTTTTTGTTTTCTACTGCAGGTCTTCAACTTACAACCAGTGAAATATGGTGCTGGGAAGAGATACGCAAGTATAACTTTGGTGTTGAGGAACATTCATCAAGGATAAGTATAATACCATAGTCAAAACCTTGTCTCTGGTAGAGAACATATTCTTGTTTCCTGCTTTTCTAGTGATATGCTTTCTTTCTACTAGATGTCACACTTCTCTTTAGGAAAGTGAACAGAAGATAGTTTTATCTAAAGCAATCATATATTCATTAAAAATACTAGCCAACTGTTATTTTTACCATATCTTCATTTCTATAACTCTGTTGATTAATGAAAAGATCATAACCCTGATTATTTTAAAAGAAATGTTTTCATATTTTCAAACTGACATGTACCAAAATAGCTTGTAAAATTTCTGAAGAATATTTAAATAATGATACGAAGCTCTTAGAATACAGTGCATATATTGGTTGAAAACAAGAGTTGCCTTTAAATATTTTCATTTAAATAGTATGTTCTCACCATTGTTCTATGCAGTAGAAGAGAGTGTGCAGGGCTCTGATGGATTCAGAATTATACTGAGAACATAAAATTTTGTTTTTAACTTCAGAGAATTAAAACCATTTTTAATTACATTTTGTGATTCTGAGAATTACTAATTCATAATAAAATATGCTTTGCAAAGAAATTAAAATGCACATTGATGGAATATTGAAGTACATAAAGAAGCCTTGTTTAAAGACTTTCAGATGGTACCTGTGCTGCAGGACTAAATTAGGCAAAGAGGGAGAGTCTTAAGATTCACAGTCAGAAAAAAGAAAGCATTTCATAAAGATGGGAAAAATTGGCTCAAGCACATGTGGTTGAGACAAAGTGTTCTAGGGCAGTTGATGAAATTGGGCTGGAAACATATTTTGGACTGGGTCATTTTGGCCTTATTCACAGTTCCGAGAAATGTAACTGCTAATTGCTTCAGAGTGAGGGGAAATTAGTTCTATAAAGCATGATTAAAGAGCACCTGCTTGTAACAATATGATGTCAGGACTGTGGGTACCATGAAACCACAACCTTAATGAATAGCATGGTGTGTTTTCAAAAATACCAGTTATTCCCATACTTTTGAATCTTATAAAATCCTAAGGTCTTCGGGAATAGAGATGGCATACTTTGGGTAAAATAACTTTCAGAGGCTAAAATAACATGAAATCTTTAAATCTATTAAGTTCCTTTTTTTTTTTTACCAAAGCAGACATTAAGCTGAAAATGATACCACTAAATAGGAGAACTCTCCTGGCTCCCATTCTCTGCCAAGTGGCCATGAGTGAAAACGTATTCCCAGGGATCTGCAAGTCCATCTGTAAAATAACGCAAGACTAATATAAAAACATAGGAATGAAGAGGAAACTCTCAAGGCATGAGCAGGTAATCTCTTCCTTTGAACAAACAAAAATCAAACTTATGACTCTGAATATACCTTCTAAAATAATTTTTCATTTTGTAGAATACAATTACACACAAATTTGTAAATTAAGAGAATTTATTTAAAATAAAGGACCACAAAGTAAAACAAAACAAAACAAAACAAAAAACCTCCTTTAAAAAAAAGCTAAACTATTAGAATTTGTACCCTGGTTTGGGTCTTGCAATCATTTTTGTTTAATGGAGAAGTTTTAATCTTAGGATAGAAAGTTCACCCCTGGTGTGAACGTAGTTTCCATTAGGACCAGAGAAATTAACCAGAATTGCATTGGATGTAAACTATTCAGGAGTGGCTTGTCCTAGTTACTAGAGTACTTAGAAAGGTTATAATACTAGATCTATTTATTTTTACTACTGGACTGTAGCAGGTTTTAGGACTTCACAGCACATCTAGGAAATAAATGCATGTGTGTCAAAGTATGAATATAGACAGCACCATATTCATTTAGCTCATATATTAAGAATGTTAATATTTTCTTGGCAGAGGAAATACCATGACCATGAAGATGCTTTTCCCAAGGAGAAGCTTATTCATTGCACTCTGGATGTGCTGACCCATGCTATTTCTCTAAATGGAGGAAACTTGACTGAAAAATGTATGGTAGTGGGGGACTCAGTTTGTGCACCTCATCCCCAAATAAATCATCTCTGTATACATTTGCCGAGAGAAGACCTCATTCTGATATTTGGGGAAGAACATCACAGTGTGTGTAACCTTTATCCCGTTGTCCTTTTCAATCATTCATATTTCAGGGCCTTTATGGGCTTAGCAATTTCTATTAAACCAAGTGATTCCAAGAAATACAAAATTCCACAGCATTGCATAATGTTCATCCAGATGTCTTCATGTCTCTTGTCTAATTTTCCACTATGTTGAATAAAAACAAAATCATGGATAGAATTTGTAAGAAAGTTGAGGTGCATAAAATTTAGTTTAAAACAATAAGGATAGAAAAAATAAAATACCAAAAAGATACAGAAAGAATGCTCAGACCATATTGGGTGCTAATGGATTTTCAAGGCTATTTGGCTCTTACTTTGAAAGATGCTGGGACCTTAGGAGGCACTTCAGCAGATGGGCAACATGATCTCAGCTATTTCTTTTAAATGAACAGTACCAGCTGCCATGTTCAGAAGAGACTGTAGGGGCACATTTAGGATGCTATTAGAGCAATCCAGGTAAGAAATGGCAGTGTCTTGCTTGACCAGGAAGGCTAACAAGATGAGCCAATGGCTCAGGCACAGCTCTGTGCCTGATACCTGATAGACGACTGGAAGGGTTGTAGTTGTCTGTCCAGGGTAAGCTGATAATTAGGAAGAAGTGAAAGAGAAAGATGAAAAAGAAAAATGGGATGGTTAGAAAGGCAAGACCTGCAAAATGCCACCTACCTATAGAAAAGTTGTATGAATGAAAGAATAGGAAGGGAAAAATTAGAACTAGTACTGCCAAAAGAAAATTCCAATTAGGAAGCAAAAACTTCTGCATGAGTACCATTTAGAAAGCCAGTGCGCTTTAATTAAAATTGATGGGTGCGCTTGTGTAGTCACATGGCTCCTGTCAGGCCCATCTGTCCAGGTGCTATGGCTGCCATCTAAAAAGCATTATGCCAAATTCACAGGCCACAGGTGCCAGCCCAAAATAAATTTAAAAATTACTTCTAGTACATAGATATATACCAGAAATAGCCCAATCACTCAGGAACAATTCACTGTGAGTTTGGTAACGTTTTATAATTCTCAGAAAAAAAAAATTAGTAAAGCATGTACAGTTTAGACACTGAGCTGATTTGACCTCTGGTGACCTATGGGATCTGCAAAAAATCGTCTTAGCTGTTTCTACTAGCTCATTCCATTTTCAGAAATACTAATGCCTGCAGCATTGTATAATGTAGCATACCAATATCTACATTTAATTTCTCTTTTCCAATTTGTGTCTGTATAGTTTATATTATTCAAGTCTTGCTTTCAATGGGCCCAAATAAAAGAATATATTCTTCCTCTTTTCAACACGGTTATGTAGTTTTTTTTTTTAAATTCATATCAGTTAATGTTGTGTTTTGTTGAAAGCTAAAAGTTAGAATTACATATGATGTCTTTTACTAACCTGATGGGAAATCAGGTTATTTGTTTTAGGTGATAGGAGTGTACTAAAGTTATATTATCCTTATCTACATTTGGTGGTATATTATCTATGATTTAATAAAGCCACTGGAAATAAAAATGCAAAACTAGCCACAGCCATAGAGCCAGGCAGGCAGCGGTGGTGGTATATACATTTAATCCTGGCACTTGGGAGACAGAGGCAGGCAGATCTCTGTAAGTTCAAGGCCACACTGAGCTATAGGAAACTGATTCAGTCTAAAAGGGAAACTGCTCACGCAAGGGTGATCTCAGCACTTGGGATCACATGCCTTTAATTCCAACACTAGGGAGCTGGGTAATGGCTGAGAGAGGAATATAAGGTGGGAGGAGACAGGAACTCAGAGGGCTGCAGTCTGAGGTTTGGTGGAGAGCAGTGCAGTGTGAGGATTTGTGGAGAGTGAGAATTTGTGGAGACAGGATCACCATTTCAGTCTGAGGTAGAGGTGAGAGCTAGTGGCCTGCAGCTTTTCTTCTCTGATCTGGAAGGCAAACCCCAGTATCTGGCTCTGGTTTTTATTGTTAATGTCCCACCGACATCTTTAACGCCTCTGTTACATTTTGGAGAACGGAGTTTCTTTGTGCGTGCGCTGCAGCTTCTCGCCCCACTCCCTGCTCGTTCGTTTTTCTTGTTCCATTACTAGGTCACTGTAGTTCCTAATTCTTGTTCGACAGTTGTTGAAACTACTCTGAATTCAGATAAACTGACATTGGAAAGTAGGCTTTGTCTTTATCAAGTTAGTCTTTGTCTTAAATACCCCAGACAACTCAGCACAGAGATGACTGAACATAAGTGAGCATGCTCATGTGCACATAAATATACACATAAAGACAGAGACACAAAGAGACAGAGATACAGAGACTCAAAGAGACAGATATGGAGAGACAGAGACTCAGAGACAGATGCAGAGAGACAGAGACACAGACACAGAGAGCAGCGGAGACAGAGAGCTAATGCTAGCTCTTTCCTAAAGTTCAAGAGGTAAATGGTGAGTAAAAACGGAGGGAAAAAGACCTTAAACTGAATGCTTAGAATTGATGGAGAAGAATATCCCTGTGTGCTCATATTGCCATTCTTGTGAGTTGACATCCCTGAAACACGTGCACTCTAAAACTCAAAAGGCTGAAGAATAGGATTAAGAGTATTAATAAGTTTGTATAATCCAAGGTGAAAAATTAATATAAACAGTTTCTTCCTTTCATGAGCAGCCTCAAAAGCTATTCTGGTTTTCTATTATTATTCTTTTTTTTTTTTCCTGAGCCTTACACTCCTGCTTTTAGGTTTTGTGAAAGTTATTTGAAATGAGTTACCAAATTACAGAACCAATTTCCACTAGTCACACAAAAGCATAGTACAGAATTAAAATGAAAAGCTTTCATAACTTGCTCCAGGCAAACTTTTGTGGTAGTGCCTGTTTCTTAACTGTCTGTAAAATATGAAAGAGCAAATGCACATGTGACTTCTAATAACCAGGCTTTGTATCTGAGAGGGAAGAGGTGGGCACTGCTTACATGTTCTGCAATCCATTTCACATTTCCAAATAGAGACCTCTGCTCCTGACCATCCCAAGGAATTTTTACAAGAGTTCTTTGAAGAAACAAACTCTTAGTGTGAGACAATATTTAACATTTGACACTTTATCACCTAAATCACTAATTGAACATGAGATATTTTTTCAGTGAACAAATTTTATGAGATAATTTGTCAGTACCTATGCTAATACGTTAAAACTGAGTTTTTTATATAAGAATATTTTATTAATATACTGAACATTTCCCCATTTTCCTTCACATTTCTACTTATTTTTAAAAAGAAGTAGTTAAAAAATTGTTATAGAGCAACATTTCAGGAAACATTAGTGTTTGTATAATGCCATCAACATGATTATGTGTTTAATATTATTTTGTATGAAAATCTTCTGAAAGCCCATTGAGTTGTTTGGGATATTTTCTTTCCCATAAGATGTCAATGCATTTACATCTATATATGTGGCTATATAAAATGTATGCATTGTTATGTTGTAGAAATATAGGTATGTGCATGTACTTTTGAGTGTATATTTATATAACAAATAATTATTTATACAAAAAGACAATTGCACATATAGTTTATATTTTATGTATCACTGATAATATTCTTTGTTAATAATATTTCTTAACATTTCATACTGGTATACCCAAAGATTTTTAACTGCTACATCGTGTTTCATTGTATTAATATAAAGCCAGTTATTCAATACCTCTTCTTTGAAAAGAAGTGTATTTGTGAATTCCTTGCCTTTACTGTATCACTGATGGGTATGCCCTATTCCTGTGGTTTGTCTAAAAATAAATTTGTAGAAGTACTTGTATGTTGTTTTAAATACAGTCCAAGTTATTCTAAAATTATTATCTCATCAGATATTACAATGATATTTCTCCATGATTCCGCTGTTTTAAGTGCTATTAAATGATGGGAGATATCATTCTGTAAATATGTTTCTCTTATTAGTTAATGAAGAAAGCATTGTTGGCCAACAGGAAAGCAAGATAGGCAGGATTAGGAGACTAGGAGGAGAGAGGAAGTAGTAGGGAGGAGTTCCAAGATGGAGGACCTACAGGGTAGGATGCTGGTCTCTCGGTAAGATAAGACCACGAGGAAGTACTTAGATTAATAGAAATGGGTTAATATTTAAGACAGAGCTAGCCAATAAGAAACTAGTAAGTGGCCCACAGCATTTTGTCTAATACTGTATCTCTATGTGTTATTTGTGGCAGGAGGTGGGACCAGACAAGCCAGGGGAAAAACCTACTCATAATAGTCAAACTCTAAAGGGGTATTTCATTTGAATATGTGAAAATTCCTATGCAATATGTGGAATGTCCCTCAATACTATAGTTACATTTGGTTTCTGTTTCTATATTACATACTTATATGTAATATTATGTGGAACTCAGTGCTCTTCACTACATTATTCTAGTACTTTCTTTCTTACTGAGAATAAATAATAGAGTCTTAAATTTATTCATGATGTAAAGTGTCTTTTCTAATTTCATCCACTACTGCCTTAAACTAATTTTTTATATATTAAATTTTAAGTAGAGATTATAAAAAATTATTAAAATAGCCTTGAAGTCTTTTGGCAAGTTAAGAAAGCTTCTTGTTTTTCAAATAATTTTTAAAATATATACTGAATATATACTTATCTTCAGTATTTGTATTTTTAATGAGAAATACTTCCTTACTTCACTAACTTGAATTATGTTTGAAAAACAATGTGTCACTGTGACAGAAACCTTATACAGTCTAATTTTCTTTAAAATGCTATTCTTTCCACTTCCGGATAGAAGAGTCAGTGTACTATGCTGTATGAGGAAGGAGTCTAGCTAGGCAGTCCTGTTATAATGGACTGCTTTATCATTAGACTTATTAGATCTTGGTATGAGTTACTTGGCTGGTTGTTGTGACAAAATATCTGGCATACACTACTTAAATCTAGAGTAGTATATTTAGCCTC